GTGTGGTGTGGTGTGGTGTTTTGTGGTTTGGTCTGTGGTGGTGTGGTGTAGACTGCAAGGTGTGTTGTGAAGTGGTGTGTTGTGAAGAGGCGTGTTGGGTCGTTATGTAGTGTAGTGCAGTGTCAAAGCGTTGTGTTGTGTAGAGAGTGGAGTAGATTGGATTGGTGAGGTGTAGAGCAGATTGGAAGAGGCTGGGGTAGGGTAGGGTAAAGCAGAGCAGAGTAAAAGTAAACCAGAAGACAGTGGAATGAAGTAGGGATAATACAATCACTGTGAATAACATACAAATACAGCATTTATTACCTTAACCAATTTAGCTGAGTTTTCAACAAAAGTTGGGACAAAGCACTTCAAGGTGGTGTAACTAAAAGCAGGATTGATAAGTTTCCTTTGCTTTGCATGTAATTTTCCACTTGACCCAAACAGGCCATTCCCTACATTAGGGATCATCTTCTTAACAAATTCAGGTCTATCGTACTTATAGGACTCTGTTATCATGACTTGCTTGATGAGGTTTGGATCATAAACTGCAATTCTGCAATCACCTAATGAAATCACTTATGGGTTAGCTGAGGTAAATTTCATGGTTATATCTGATATATGCGAGAAAATATCTGTTGAAATATTTATGTATGTGTGAATATATATGTATATGTTGTAGTATACATTTATACAAATATCTAATTTATTCAGTATATTTAATGATATGCAAAACGGAAAAAACGCTTTATTTATTGTTTGTTTCATTCAATGACTGTCAAAATACTTTTTCCTTGTCTATTAGATTGTACAGATTATAAATCAGTTGGTTTTAAGCGTTGAAAATGGTTATTTTGCATTTACCCTTCTGCAATCTAGTGTATTTGTAATATTTATCAAACTCATGAATAATGCATGAGGAAAACAAAACAGAAATCACGACCGTGAAGAGTGTTGTAAATCTGATACAAAACTGTGTTCATTTGCATAAACTTTAAGTTGGATTTTCTAGGCCAAATTCACTTTAATTTTGAAAATTTTAGTGAAACACAAAGGAACTAACCTAGACGTTTGATAAGTCATATACAGTATTCGTGTCCGTGTTGTATCAGATATACAATCACTCGGCTACGCCTCGTGGTTGTTTATCTGATACAACACGGCCACTCATGCTGTATATGTTACTTAAAAGTTGTAACAAAAATTAAAAATTACATATCAGACACCACTAAACATACCCAGACATAAAAAAATATATAACAAAAGCTGAGCTTTTTTTACCGATATTAATTAATTATTGTTTTGAACTGGGGGATCAATACATTAATTATTTTGATACGCTTCGGACATCGATGATTACACATTTCGAAGTAATCTTCTACCTTTTTTTCTACAAGGATTATGAAATTGCTGCATAATATTATTTTCAAACACCAAAAACGTACAGAAAAGGGGCAAACTTACCAATTCCAATACCAAAACCAGGGTTAAATGCAATCATCGGTCCATACTTGTCTCTCCAATCTGAGAGTGCATGTTGTAGACCTCCTTTCTTAAGGACTACGAACAAATGACCGATCAGAGGCAAACGTCCTTCGGGTGTCGGGATCCTTGCCAGAGGAGAAAGCTTTTCTTCGACTATCTTGTACACCAGCCATGCGACGAAGGCAGTGAAGGCAGCAAAGAAGTACGACGACCAAGTTGCTGATATGAGTCGAGTGTATGACGAATAAAATAAAGTCTCCAGGGCCATGAAGTCGAGCTTATGTTGGCTGTTCAAGACGAAGAACCGCAGCGAACGAAGTTGGTACTTTTCAAATAACAACTATGATATTTTTGCACGTTTGAAAGGTGCTTTATAATTGTCCTCTCAAGCAATACTCGTTTGTTATTGCATAATAATTTGCGAATAAAGAAATGACGTCATTTTATTAATTGAAAATTAACTACTTTAATCATAGTTAATATTAACTATGCTAAAAAAGACACATGCTGTGAACAAAAGCACTTCAATATTCTTCCTTTTCGAAGGTGAACACGTATGTGAAAAATCTAGCTGAAACTAAAATACGTACGAAGCAACAAAAATATGTCAATATTAAAGTTGAAGATAAGTGGTTTTTCCTTTGATTCATTGTGTTTTTATTTGTCAAAATAAACTGCATTTATTGGTGTTATTGAACAAAGGGACCGGTCATTTTTTAA